TGTGATATATTTTGTTTTTCTTTTCTTTCGTTGGATTTGGATCGATAGGTGCCAACTTGGATGTTTGGCTGAATATATATATATATATATATATTTTTATATATGACTGGATGGATGGATGGACATGATGAAGGTGAGTGACAGGGTGAGTGACAGTGACGTGAATAAGGTCAGGCAGAGGTATCTGTTGACTGTTGACTGTTGACTGTTGTGATATGGATGCTACCTACTTGTAAGCTACTTGTAAGGGACATGGAAGGGACTGGACTGGAGGCGAAGCTGAAGCTACTTATTACCTAGAGGTATCTTCAGTTCTTCACCCCGGCAGCCCGGTTAATACTGTCTTAGGTATCTATCTATCTCTATCCATCTACATTTAACGCCCTCTTCCTCCATCTAGAGGTACCTTAGTCTTCAGAGTTAGAGTTAGAGTTAGAGTTGAACGTTGAAGTTGAACGTGTAGCAAATAGTTCAGCAGTTGAGCAGCGATCTCTCTCTCTCTCTCTCCTCTCTAATGTTGCTGCCGTGGTAGTAGTAGTGGTACCTACCCCACAGCAACAGCACAGCACAGCACAGCATAGCACATCACGTATATTTGATTCAGACTAACCTGACTAACGTACATACCCAGTTCAAGGAGTTCCAGGTGACCAGCACCCGAAAAGTTCCATGTCATTGTAATGTGTACCTTAAAAGTATGTGAAGGGGTATCTATCTACCGTATTTACCGTATCCATCTGTGTCCAAAATCCAAAGACCAAAATCCAACGCCTTTTCCTCTTTCTTTTACGCCGCCGTTCCTTACGCCTTTCTTCACGCCATTCTACATACGCTCAAGTAAGCACCCCCCATCACAGTGTTACCCAACCCCTTAACCCCTTAACCCTTAACCCCCTTACCCACGGTACCCAAAAATCAAGGATCACTCCTCCACCTTCTCTTCCCCACCGCGCCCTCATCTTGATCCTCAAGCCATCCCTTCCTCTCCGTCTTCTCAGCAAACTGCACCAGCAGTCCCTGATGATACGGCGTCATCCTGCTCACCCTCTCCCTGAGCACATCTCCCCAGTTATCCGGTCTCCAGTTCTGCAAGAACAGCAACGGACTAATAGCCTGCACCGACCGCGGCGCGTGGCTGATCACGTCCTGCTGCAGGTGCGCGGGTAGCTGGTTCAGCTGCTGACCTAGAAAGGTGGCGCGCGAGCGCGTGAGCGGGGATTCCGAGGCGTTGCCGAGTTGTTCGCCCAGGTCGTGGGCTAAGGCGAGGGAGGAGCGGCGGGTGCTACGGCGCGGGGTTGATGGCGGGTTGTTGTTGTTTTGATGCCCCCCGGGAGGAGTATGACCGGGAAGGGGGGAGGGTGAATTGTGGAGTTGGAATTGTTGAGGCGGTGGGAGTTTGAATGGGTGGAAGTGGCTGCGTTGGCGTAGCGGGTTCTCTTTGCGGAAGAGCTGGGTGGTGAGGGTGAGCATTCTTCTTCTTCTCCGTCTTCGGAGGGTACGTAATCTGCATCGGGGTCGTCGTTCTCGGCGGAAGCACGCTTGCGTTTGCTGGGTGTTGATGGGCCTGAACCTGAACCTGAACCGCCTGGTGCTGATGCTGGTGCTGGTGTCCCTTGTTGATTTTCACCACCCGGTGCTGGTGTCCCCTGTTGACTTCCACCGCCCCCGGGAGCTGGTGTTCCATTTCGGCCTTTTTTCTCGTCTTCCCCACGAATATACATCACCAGGTCTCCCCGATGGCGCTCAATCGTGTTTGCCACCGCCGCCGCCCTCAGCGCTCGGCTTTTCCTCTAGCTGGAACTTCGTCACCAATGTGCCTATCCGTCAGCACTCTCCAAGAGGACACCTGTCGTGCGGGACGTTGGGGACGACAGTCTGGAACGGGTCGTGGCGCTGGCCGGTGGCAGCTTCCTGGTGCCGTATCTGGACGTAACGGTTCCATTGCTCGTTCTTCCACTGCCGGTAACGTGTCGTGCAGGGTTGTGGTCGCGGTTGAGAGAAGGGCGGCGTTTTTTCTCTTCGAAAGCGGTGGTGGCGCAACGTCGGACCTCGATGCGGAACTCGTAGAGATCAAGTAGCCAGCGTCGAAGGCCTTCTCGAAACACCACAGGTGCATGTACCCGGCGTTGTTGTAGGGGTCGTAGTAGTCGCCCGTGTGGAGCGAGTGCTCGTCGAGACAGACGCGGTGGAAACCCTTGGTGATTGTGCCCTTGGGTATCGGGCATTCCTTATACCTGCATTTTGAGGCATTGGCTTGCGCGTATCGATCGGAGACCATGAGCGGCATGTTTTGAATCCACAAGGTAAGGTGCCTGTTGGGTCGGTTGGGATGGCCCTCGCCGCGGAAGAACAGGCCAAGCTGCGATGCTGTGTATTGTTTCGAGTGTACCAACTCGGCCCGGGCCAACGGCTGGCTGTTGGCGTAGGAAAACAAGGTTGCCGGGCGTCCCTGTTCATCGTACTCGGTGCCCCAGGATTGTGTGTGTGCTTTGTAGTAGTACACCTGATGGGGATGGGTACCACCACTTTTGTTGCGGAGCTTGGTGCCTCGGATCTTGACTACCTCGTTGCCGGAGCCCGGTGCTACCCACCTTTCTGGTTGCAAAGTGCCAGGTGGGAAAACGGGAGGAGTCACCACCGGAGGCGGGTGTAGCTCTGGGGGAGCAGAACCTATGGCCGGTAGCTGATTAGGATCTGGAATACCGCCATTGTTACTCTGAACGCCATGTGGACTGACACTACCATATACAGGTTGTGTTTGAGCTCCGAGGCGAGCTTGGCCTCCTCCACCAAATTGTGAACCGGCAAATTGCTGGTACCCGGTGGCAGGCTGGACAACACCTCCTGCACCATATTGCGGGCCGGGAACCTGTTGATTCCCGGGGGGAGGGTGCTGATTCCCACCTCCGGCAACATTCGGCCAAATGACCGGTTGGTCTTCGGGTATGGGAGTCAGGTGGGCAATACCCCCTCCCTGACCTTGTTGCATGCCATTGTTTTGGTTAACTTGTTGATTTCCAGGGGCCAAGTAGTCGCCCATGTTTCCGTGAGGAGTTGGTGCACGGCTGGGTTGCCGGCTACCATTGTTGGACGGACCACCAACTCCTTGACCGTGTTGCATCCCGTTGTTGAACTGGTCAGGTTGCTGAACTGGTGGCATGCCTCCTTGTACTTGAGGAGTATTTGCGCGGGTGGTCTGCTGGCTTCCATGATTAAACTGGTCAGGTTGCTGAATTGGCGGGTGAAATTGCCCACCCATGCCTCCTAGTACTTGAGGGGTATTTGCACGGGTGGTCTGCTGGCTTCCATGGTTAAACTGTCCACCGCCGGCTCCATGACCAGTTTGCGCACCACCCAGTTGTTGCTGTCCATTGTGAAGGTTAAGGAGGCTGGCGGCAACTTCTTGATCGCTTGGTAAATTGTTGAATTGCTGGCCTTCGTTGTGATATGGGCCACCACCACCACCAACCCCACCACCACCGCCTCCCTGGTCGTGTTGTGCAACGTTTAGTTGTTGGCCTCGGTTATCATACTGAGCACCGCCGACTTGATGGTATCCGGTGTTGTTGTTGTTGTTGTTGTTGTTGTTGTTGTTGTTGTTGAAGCCACCAGTACCCCCTTGGCCATTTTGTGCCTTGTCGAGTTGATAGAAGTGGTTGTGAAACTGACTAACATGTGCACCGCCCAAGTTAAGGAGGTCATGGGAAGCTTCTTCTTGGCCGTATTGTGTATTATCGAATGGTTGGGCTTCGTAGTTATGCTGGCCACCAGCACTACCACCGCCGCCTCCTTGTCCGTTGTTGACTTGCTGCTGACCTCCGTTGTTAATTCGCACACCTGTGCCTCCTTGTCCCTGACCGGGTTGTTGCGCTTGACCGATTTGTGCGCCACCGTATGGCTGGCATTCGCTATTGTTAGACTGGTTTACTTGTTGTCTTTCGGGATCAGGATATTCGTAGCCACCTGCGCCTTGTGGAGTGGCTTGTGGTTGGGCAAAGTGCTGATTTTCGTAATGAGGTTGTTGGATAGCGCCTGGAGCAGCTTGTGGTTGGGTAAAATGCTGATCTCGAGGTTCAGAAGCTGGTTGGAAAACGATTTCTGGAAAAGCTTGTGGGCCAGTATATTGTTGATCTTGTTGGCCAGCACCCCATGAATCAGAAGCAGTCACCTGCTGGTTAGGCTGATGTCCATGGGTAGGGACAGGACCGCCACCAAAGGTATGATCACTGTTGAATGTGTTTTGCTGCCCGCCGTGATCAACAGGTGCTGCTTGTTCGGGAGCTGCAGAGGTCGCGGGCTGGATCTGGTTACTATTAGAACCGTCTGCTGCTGCTGCCTCCGGCCCCGGACCGCCTTGTCGATTGTCCTGTAAATAAGCCGAAATGCTTTCTGGTAGTGACATTTGAGAGACAGTGGACATCTGACGTACATCTTGATTCCCGAGATCCTGGTTATTATTAAATATGTTCTGTTGTTCAACAGCGTCATTACCACCAAAAGCTGGGTTCTGACCCGGAACTTGGGCAGGTGGTTGTTGTTCCGGGACAGCGGAGGCGGCAGGATGGACTTGAGGATGGGAATTGTCCCCCTCTGCTGCTGCTGGCACCGGGCCACCTTGGGGCTCTTGGTTTATCTGATTTTGAAGATTATAATTATCTATCGGATCGAAGTCAGCGCCATCAAGATTATTGAAATCGAAGAACCCGTTTCCGCGCATGAATTGCCGCACAATACCGTCACTCCCGTTGCTGTTTGTTTCAGGGGCCGCCTCTTGCTTGGGATTTCGAGCCGATGGGTCTATCAGGTCTTGTTGTTGAGCAGGCTGTGGCGGACCACCAGCCTGGGAATCCGTTTCTTGACCGAGTGCATAAAGAGCCGGGTCAATAGAGATATCTTGTACGCCAGCCGCCTGCGAAGTGGCATCTTGAACAGGTGGATATATGGGCTCTGGTCGACGAAGACGTTGTTGCCGAACAGCCTCGGAAGCTTGCCAGTGACTGAATGGGCTGAGTTTTAGGTCACGGGTGGGCTGCGGTACATCAGTAGCCTGGGGATTGTCATGTTGTCTTGGTGTGGTCTTGAGTAGTTGTCCATCATGGGAGGGGAGGGGGAGGAGTTGCGGACCACCACCACCACCATTGTCGTTGTCATTAGCGCTGGGGGTAGCATCCCATTCTTCTGTTGCATTGAAATCGCCCTCCAGTTGTATGGCCGCCACTTCTTGGTCTGCGAAGAGATCATCGTCATCTTCTCCCGGAGAGGCCATTGTTTAGTTGATGTGTTGCGAGATTAAAGACGAAAACAAGGTATCGGATGAACAGTTGCACTGAAATTGACCAGACCATAAAGAGGGTCCTGGGACAGGTAGGTAGGTTATTATATGGACACAGAGGATGCGGGAGAATCACAAGCATTGGTGGAGTTGAGAACAAAGAACTGGGTATATTTTTAGATATATAACGAGGTCCCCAACAATGGGCAAAGAGAATCCAGTCCGAGCAGACAATGGTCTTGACAATGGAATTGGTGACCTTGTCCGAGACAATGGGAGTGCCGGCAATTGTAACGCAACTCCCGACTGTCACGCACAAGGCGGACGACAACGCCACATTGCGAGGCCAACAGCATGGAGCAACCGAAGTGGTCATGATCATCTTAAGAAGGACGTTAGCTATATGCCTTCTGAGCTTGAGAGCAGCGGTGACAGGTGCAAAGGGGAGGGAAGATGGGTAATCAGTAAACTAAGCAGTTTCTCAACACTATGTTTTTCAGAACAGGTCTGTGAATTTTGCGTATAGTTTCATCATGTGAGGGCGACCGATATGGACTGCCACGGGGTGGATAAATGAAAATGAATGTAGTGCGATATTAACTTACCACTTGCGATGATGCCAGCATGGTGTCGAGCAAGCATTGTGGCTGGCACACAATGTGTTGACGGCGGCGGCGACGAGGCCGGCCGTGTTGAGGATTCCTCACCGAGGAGGAGAACTGGTAGAAAAGGAAAGAGAAGAAGTTTTGGGCGGCAGAAATTTGCAGGCTTTTTGTTCCGTCCAATTCTAGTGGTGGGGAAATGTCGGCTGAAGTGGAGTGGAATGGAACTCGGTTGGTGGCCGTTTCGCTTGATAAGGGCGGCACCGGCTCAGTGCTTATCGGTCAGGCTTGGCAAAGCGAAGGGTTCAAGTTCCGAGCTCCGCAGTGAAAGTGGGCATCAGATGAGGCCCGATGGACCCTACCCGACCCAACTTTAGGCGTGCACTATCACGGTTCCTTTGAAGATCAGAGTGAGACGACCCCCAACAACATGCTCAACGAGAATCTGATTCAACATTCTTTTCATGTATCGTGCTGGTCAGGTAGAGGTAACATGGGTACAGTATTTCTCCGTAACCCAATGGACCGAAACCGGCAACTGGACGGCCACTCTATACGGTAAACATGTAGGTACCGTCGTCCCGTTAGCTGGGTGACTGTTAGTGTTAATGTCGCACAGCGACAGGGCCCCTACGTCACGAGGAATTAATCCACCGGGATCCCGGGGGTTGTTACTACCTAACGACGCCGTCAAGTGCGGCACTGTCTACCCACCCGCCGCCAATTCCACTCTGAATTCCATCTTCTCCAGGGCAATTGCCATCCTCACGACTCCTCATCGCATACACTTCAATAGGTACCAAACCTCGACTGGGCAGCAGTCAGCACCATCGCGGTCACCACGGCACTACGGCACCAGCTCTCCCCCCAACAGCCAGCACTTGTGTACCTACCTACCTATACGCGTTCCGCTGGACTCACTGCCAAGACCGACCTGCCCTGCATTTGACATTCTTCAATCTGATTCGAATTCCGTCCCCCTCTCTGTCTCTGTCACGCAAGAACAACGCGACAGGACCCTCACCCTCGACTTCCTGGGTTGCCACTTTGGATATTCCGGATCAACCATTACACTTACACTAGACTTCCAATACCCTAGAATTAGACTTTGTTGTCCAGTCCTCCTCGCTTTCAGGTTCCGACCTCTCCGTGTCGCCGACATTGTCCCTACACCGGTCAATCGCAAGTGGAATCGCAGTCGCAGTCGCCATCGCTCGCTCGCTCGCTACCTACCTACCATACAGCCTATACAACTACCCACCTTTCGCTATACTAGAAACGCCTGCCTCTCTCGCTTGCTAGGCGCAGTCGAGCGCCCTCGAGTTCGCGCGATCGCAAAGGAAGCTGTGATAAACACATTGGCCCAACATGGCCGCGGTTAACCCCGACCTGCAGGCGAAGCTGGACGAACTACAAAGGGAGCTGGAGGTGCGTTGGGGAAATCTCGCATCAGATACCTTGGAATAAAGACTTGACGCTGACCAGCTTGCGCCTTGACTGTAGGAGGGTGATATCACAGAAAAAGGGTGCGCGCGACACTTTCCGTTTCCTCACCTGGACCCCCGGCCACAGATCGGCCGACTATCCGTCTTCTCGAGCCCGACTGTCTGCTAACTTTGACACCCTCTTCTCTCTCCAGATATCATAAGCGACGGGCACAGCTGCTTGCCCAGTATGGCGTTTATGCCCCCGCAGACTCACAACCAACGGGACCCCCAACCGGAGGTCTTCGCCTTCACTCACCCGACGACACATCCCATGTCTCCAACGACCGCCAACGCATGGCCTCGGGTGCCGGTCTGAGCAGCGCCTCGCTCAACTTTCAGCCCTCCCGAGAGTCGGTCGCCTATTCCGAACATCGAAACTCCATGGCCTTTCCTGACCAGCGAGAATCCATGGCCTTTCCTGACCACCGGGAATCCATGGCCTTTCCTGACCACCGGGAATCCATGGCCTTTCCTGACCACCGGGAGTCCATGGCCTTCTCCGACTACCGCCCCCAGTCTACCTACTCCTTCCAAGAGACTCATCCGGCCGCTTTGCTCGCACCGGGCGGTCCTATGGCTGATCACCGCCCCGCGATACGACAACATGACTCCCTCTTCCTCTTTCCTGCCCCCAACGACGCCTCTACAAGGTCGGGAACCATGGTGTCAGGAGACTATGCCTTCAATCCCGAACAACACGGCGACTATGCCGAGCCACAGCCACCGCAGCAGACCCAATATGACGGCAGGACCAATACCTTGTTGAATTCACAGGCCTACTTCTCCGATTTTGCCGGTCAGCAAGCCCACGAGCAGCAACTCCAGGGCGATTATGGTGGCCCTCACAGATACTCCTCCAGCGATGCCTTTTCGCCCACCGCTGCTGTTGCGCCCCCTATGCTCACGGCAAACGATTTCCCACCACCCGGCGCTATCCAATTCCAGAAAGCCCTCGAGCCGCGCGAAGTCCCGTTTGCGATATACGACCCACACGATCCCCGCAAGGAAATGTCTACTTTTGACAATATTGCTGTCGTCCTCCGGCACCGAGGCCGTAACCTCCCCAACCGGCGAGCGTACTGGGTGCTGGACGCCAAGGGCAAAGAGATTGCATCCATCACATGGGATAAACTTGCCTCGAGAGCCGAGAAGGTGGCCCAAGTGATTCGCGACAAGAGCTCCCTTTACCGCGGCGATCGCGTGGCGCTTATCTACCGGGATACCGAAATCATTGACTTTGCCATTGCCCTATTGGGCTGCTTTATTGCTGGCGTCGTGGCCGTACCCATCAATGAGCTCCAGGATTATCAAAAGTTGAACCTGATACTGACATCAACACAGGCGCATCTGGCCTTGACCACTGACAATAACCTCAAAGCGTTCCAGCGTGACATTACAACCCAAAAGCTCCATTGGCCAAAGGGCGTTGAGTGGTGGAAGACCAACGAGTTTGGCAGTTATAGCCAGAAGAAAAAGGACGAATTGCCCCCTTTGTCGGTTCCAGATCTGGCCTACATCGAATTCTCCCGCGCCCCAACCGGTGATCTTAGGGGTGTTGTGCTCAGCCACCGTACCATCATGCATCAGATGGCCTGCCTGAGCGCCATAGTCACCACCGTGCCCGGCTCCAAGCCCGGCGACACGTTTAACACGACTTTGCGCGATACAAATGGCCATTTAGTGAGTCGCAGTTCCGCCAAAAGCGAAACCTTGCTTTCATATCTGGATCCTCGGCAAGGCGTCGGCATGATTTGGGGGGTTCTATTTGCCGTATACGGAGGGCACACCACTATTTGGCTCGAAAACAAGGCGGTCGAGGTACCCGGTCTTTACGCCTACCTAATCACCAAGTACAGCCCCACCATGATGATCGCCGACTATCCTGGACTCAAACGAGCAGCCTACGACTACCAGGTCGACCCAATGGCAACAAGAAACTATAAAAAGGGCATGGAGCCCAACTTTTCATCTGTCAAGCTGTGCCTGATAGACACATTGATTGTCGACGGCGAGTTCAACGAGCTTCTCGCCGACCGTTGGTTCAAACCATTGCGGAACCCTCGTGCGCGAGAGGTTGTTGCGCCCATGTTGTGCCTCCCGGAGCACGGAGGCATGATCATCAGTGTCCGGGACTGGGTGGGTGGCGAGGAGAATATGAAATGCCCGCTTAAACTGGAGATTGAGTCGGATACGGAATCGGAGGGTGAAAAACCAAAGGATCCCGAAGAAGACAAGCCTACCACCTCTAACGGTTACGGAAGTCTTCTGGGCGGAACGACGGTAAACGCGGCGGCAGAACACCGCGCAAAGAACGAACTGAGTGAAGTACTGCTTGACAGAGAAGCATTGAAAACCAACGAGGTGGTGGTGGTGGCCATGGGCGCAGATGTTAGTAAGAAGGCTAGCAGTGAGCCAGGAACGGTTCGCGTCGGCGCATTCGGCTACCCTATCCCCGACGCATCTCTCGCTATTGTCGACCCGGAGACCGGCCTACTCGCTTCGCCACATACCGTGGGAGAGATCTGGGTCGATTCTCCCTCGTTGTCTGGTGGGTTCTGGGCGCTACCAAAGCACACCGAACAGATCTTCCATGCTCGACCTTTCACCTTCGAACCCGGTTCGACGCTTCCAACCCCGACCGAACTGGAGTATCTTCGAACCGGTCTGTTAGGCACCGTTATCGAGGGCAAGGTCTTCGTCCTGGGCCTGTACGAGGACCGTATCCGGCAAAAGGTGGAATGGGTCGAGCACGGCACCGAGGTGGCCGAGTATCGTTACTTCTTCGTGCAGCACATCGTTGTTAGCATCATGAAAAACGTACCCAAGATCTCTGATTGCTCCGCCTTTGACGTGTTTGTCAACGAGGAACATCTACCTGTTGTGGTGCTTGAATCTCAAGCTGCCTCTACAGCTCCAGCTACCAGTGGAGGACCGCCTCGGCAGTTGGACACGGCTCTCCTGGACTCGCTGGCTGAAAGGTGCATGGATGTGTTGATGCAGGAACACCACCTTCGTGTGTACTGTGTCATGATCACCGCTCCGAATGCTCTGCCACGGGTGATGAAAAATGGCCGCAAGGAGATTGGCAACATGCTCTGCAGGAGGGAGTTCGACCAGGGCAACCTTCCGTGCGTACATGTCAAGTTTGCCGTTGAGCATGCTGTGCTGAACTTGCCCATTGGTGTCGACCCCATCGGCGGCATCTGGTCTCCCATGGCTTCAGAATCCAGACAACAGGTTCTTGCCCCTGCCGATAAACAGTACTCGGGCATCGACCGGAGAGAGGTGGTTATTGACGATAGGACGTCGACCCCTCTCAACAACTTCTCCAACATCACAGACCTGATTCAATGGCGAGTAGCAAGGCAGCCAGAAGAGTTGGCGTACTGCACCATTGATGGTCGTGGCAAAGAAGGCAAGGGTATCACCTGGAAGAAGTTCGACACAAAGGTGGCGGCAGTTGCCCAGTACCTGAGGAACAAGGTCAAGATCCGGGCTGGTGACCATGTCGTCTTGATGTACACCCACTCCGAGGAGTTTGTCTTTGCCGTCCACGCCTGCATCAACCTTGGTGCTATCATCATTCCCGTAGCGCCGATGGACCAAAACCGTCTATCCGAAGATGTCCCTGCCTTCCTCCACCTGGTCGCCGACTACGGCGTCAAGGCTGTCTTGGTGAACCACGAAGTAGACCACTTGCTCAAGGCGAAGCCTGTTGCACAGCACATCAAGCAGTCGGCTCAGTTCTTGAAGGTCCTGGTTCCGAACGTCTACAATACCAGCAAGCCACCGAAGCAGAACAGTGGTCTACGTGATCTAGGCATCACAGTTGACCCCGCATGGGTTCAGTCAGGCTATCCCGTTGTGATCTGGACGTACTGGACACCCGATCAGCGACGCCTGGCAGTCCAGCTAAGTCACGACACCATCTTGGGTATGTGCAAGGTGCAAAAGGAGACATGCCAGATGTCCAGCTCCCGACCTGTCCTAGGCTGCGTGCGTAGTACCACAGGCCTAGGTTTCATTCACACCTGTCTCATGGGCATCTACATCGGCACTCCCACCTACCTACTCTCGCCCGTCGACTATGCCCAGAATCCGGTCTCGCTGTTCCTCATCCTCTCACGCTACAAGATCAAAGACACGTACGCCACCCCGCAGATGCTTGACCACGCCATGAGCATGATCCCCGGCAAGGGCTTCACCTTGCACGAGCTCAAGAACATGATGATCTCCTGCGAAGCGCGCCCTCGCGTTGACCTGTTCACCAGGGTCCGTCTCCATTTCGACGCTACCGGCCTGGATCGCACCGCCATCAATACAGTCTACTCGCACGTTCTGAACCCCATGATCGCTTCCCGGTCGTACATGTGCGTTGAGCCCATCGAGCTTCACCTAGATCCCAAGGCCCTGCGACAAGGTCTCATTTATCCGACGGACCCGCTACGGGATCCCAAGGCTCTGGTCATCCAAGACAGCGGCATGGTGCCGGTGTCGACGCAGATCGCCATTGTCAACCCGGAGAGCAGGATGTTATGTAGCGATGGCGAGTACGGCGAGATCTGGGTGGACTCGGAGGCCTGCGTCAAGTCCTTCTATGGTTCCAAGGACCAGTTCGATGTGGAGAGATTCAACGGACGCACGGTCGAGGACCCCAGCATTCGTTATGTGAGAACTGGCGATCTTGGCTTCCTGCATAACGTTAGCAAGCCCATTGGGCCAGGCGGTGCGTTGGTGGACATGCAGGTTTTGTTCGTGCTGGGAAGCATTGGCGAGACATTTGAGATCAACGGGTTGAGTCACTTCCCCATGGACATTGAGGCTTCGGTTGAGAGGTGTCATAGGGTCATTGTGCCTGGTGGTTGGTAAGTTGCCCCTTTTGCCCCAGGCCTTATGGAGAATACTAACAGAATTCGATAGCGCCGTCTTCCAAGCAGGCGGATTGGTGGTGGTTCTAGTCGAAGTAGCTCGCAAAGCCTACCTCGCTTCCATCGTCCCAGTCATCGTCAACGCCATCCTCAATGAGCACCAGATCATTGCCGACATCGTCGCTTTTGTCAACAAGGGTGATTTCCCGCGGTCACGTCTGGGTGAAAAGCAACGCGGTAAGATTCTCGCTGGCTGGGTGAGTCGCAAGATGCGCACCATTGCCCAGTTTGCCATCAAGGACATGGACAGCGCCGCTGCCGCCGGTCTCCCAGGCACATCTGCCAGCGAACAGTCAAGCGGCGGTCACCATGCCGGCAGCATGTCGGATATACCCGAGATTGCCCACCGCGCCAGCATGGCAAGCAGCCACCGCTCCGGCGGGCAACAGCAATCCCAGGGTGCCGGATCCAGCAGCTTGCGGAACGTCGAGCCCGCGCCTCAGATCCTCGAGCAGAGGGAGGCCGAGCAGCAAGCGAAAGTGCTCGAGGACATGGCCAGCCTCAGCATCCAAGCTCAACAGCAGTTCCACAACCAACAGCAGCAGCAGCAGCAGCAGCAAATGCCTGTGGAACTACCCGCCGGTAACGATGGCAGGCGAGCATCGCTGGCGTACTCCAACCACAGCGGCCAGTACGGCGGCTACCAAGGCTACGGCGACGCGGACCAGACGCCCACGCGACAACGGGTAACCACCATGTATTACCAGCAGCAGCAGCAGCAGCAGCAGCAACAACAACAACAAGCAGCACAGCACGGGTACGAGTTACCGGACTTCGATCGCTTCGGCGACAGCGAACCGATTGAGCTCCCGACTTCTATCTACGATCAGGGGGGTTATCAACAACAACAACAACAACAACAACAACAACCGGGCGGCTACGGTAACCAGAGCCAGAGCCAGAGCCAGGGCGGGTATACCAATAACCAACAACAGTATCAAGGTTATCCGTCCCAGGGTCAACAATATCAACAGTATCAACAACAACAATTCCCACCCTCACAACCACAACCACAAACCATCACAAGCGGCAGCGGCGCCCCACAAATTTACCACCTCCCCGCCGTCGACGGCCGCGAACAACTAACCGATTGGAACTTGGGTTTCTCCTCCTCCTCCTCGGGCCACGATATCAACGACGGAGGCGTGGAAGGCAGAGCGGGACAGAGGGGTAGGTTCAGGGTGGTTAATGCCGATCCCATCACTAGCGATGATGACGATAACAATGATGATGGACCTGGCAGTGGAGATGAGAGTTGGAAGAGGGATGCGTTTGCTAGTTTGAATTTGGCTGGGACGCTTGCTGGTGGTGGTGGGAACGGGGGTGGGGGGAAGTGAGGGGAGTGAG